AGGTAAACATCTATACCAATAGAAAAATTCAAAATAATTTTCATGTTATACAATAATTCAGAAAAGTATTATGTTTTTCTTTCAATTATTTTTGCTCACATTTCCCACTTGAATTTCTTCATTAAAACTCTTAAATATTTCTTTTTATGTTGAGCTATACACTAGAAAACAACCTTATTTTATCTCTCTTAATTCATTCCACCTATCTCTTAGGCTTCTCAAATTATTTTATCTTTCATAAAAAGAGAAAACTACGTACAAGTGATTGGCTTAAAAGCTAAAACTCTAAATGCTTATACATTGGATTCAAATCTAAAGTCTCATATTTGATTCGAGTAAGCCCTCTAATCTAGAAATTTTTTTTTTGTTTTTGAAGTAGATTTGAATCCAGCACCATAGAATTTGAAGCTCTCAAAGTCTCAATTCCAAATTCAAGACAGTTTCCCCTCGTATTTTCTCTCTGATTATCAATAAATAATGTTCCCCAAGATATTCCAGGCACCCTTTAAACAAATGCATGAGAACAGAACAGTATCGATCTGATTAAAATAGAACAAATAAATGCGTGAAACTTGATCGTTTTGACATAAAAATACTTTTGTTGTCTGCTAGGATTCTTTATTTATTTATTATTTATTTTTGGGTAATTTGCTATGTGAGGATTCGATTCAAGTAATGTACACGGGTAGCCAACCAATAAAGATTGCCCAACTGTCTTGGTCCTGATTTTCTTTGATTTTCTATGACTTTTATGTTAACAACTAACTATGGTACTACAAATGTGATATCAATTTTTAAGTGGTTCGGTCATATGATCTTTTAATCTTCTTTTAAATTTAAGTTATGGGCATACAAGTCACAAATTTAAATGTAAGAGATTTATTTGGATACAATTCAGGTGTGTTATCATTACACAAAAATATTATAGCTGCACATTTCAATTTTGTTTGGCAGGGTTGTTATTTTTATTTTTATAAATTTTATAGCTCAAAAAAAATTCATTATTTTTATATATTTTTATAATAAATTATCATGATTATTAAAAAAATAAAAATAAAAATAATTTTGATTTTATTAAACAAGTTTATATTTTAATTTTAAAAATTAGATCATTAATAAATAAGTGTCGTTTTATAATTTAAGTTTAAGGTTTAAGTTTTGAAATTAACACAAAAAAATTGATTTACTTAAATGTATTAAACTAATATAGAAGTTACGCTCTTCAAATTGCTCAAAAAAAAAAAAATCTTAAGATATCTAGAAATTGACTCCAAAACACATTAACCTTAAATACTAAAAACAAAAATTTAATTTTTTTTTGTTCTTGTTATTGGAATCAAATCTTGTATTAAACAAATTATTGGTTTTCATTTTTTAGTTTCAATTTTTGGAAGTTGCAAAATATATGAAGGGCTTAATACACTAAAAATCCTCCAACTTTACAAAAGAGTCATTGTTGTCATTCTACTTTAAAAATTTTCATAATAACCCCTTAACTTTGAAGAAAGGCAAAGTATCATTTCTCTGTTGACGCATTAAAACACTGTTAGGCTATCCGTTAAAATCCTTCTGCTAAGAGAACATTGTCAATGCCTCACCTTTTAGTTTGCATGCACTTTGATCCAATACTTCAAATTTATTCAATTGGGTCCCAATTTTAACTTTTCTTTTCACAATTTAGTTCTAAATTTTTAAAAGAATTTCACTTAAGTCCCAAAATTTATAATTCCGTGCATTACAATTTCTTACATAAAATAATAAAAATATGTAAAATCCAATGAAATCATTTTTAACTTATTCAAAATATTAATAAAACTAAAGCTAAATAAGTAAACTAAAATATATAAATTAATCTAATCAAAGTGTAAAATCACATCTTTAGGTGTGTTTGGTCAAAGACCATTGAGAAAGTGATAGGTTAAATTTTGTAATGAAATTTTTTAAAATTTTTAATTTTGTTATATTTGATAAGAAATTGATATAGGAAAAATTAGAAGAAGTTGTTCAGTGAGTCATATATAAGAAATTATACAAAACTTTTTTCCTTAAAAAGTTTTGAGAAGAAAAGTTTATTGATCAATAATTATGTCAAGAAAAATAGAAGTAAAAAATGTCACTTTTGCTCTTTATTCATTATAATTTAAAGGTGTATAAGTATCTAAATACCCTTAAAAAGCCCTAGATGGGGACATTTCCTAGAAAAGTAAACCAAACACCCCCTTAATGCCCAACTTCAAATCCCTAAAAATAAATAAATGACATTTAGCTAGTTGCATGCACATAACTCACATAAAATATATATATATATATATATATATATATAAAAGAACAACACTATGATAGAAAAAGGGTAAATAAGAGATGTTTGCCTTCTTTTTCTCATTATACACTCATAGAAATATCACCCTAAACTCACATTTACAACATACTTGCGAGCCATATTCACATCCTTTATAGCTTTTTTACTTCAGTTGTAGCACTTTATAAAATTTCAAATTTGGATATCAAAGATTTTTTTTGTCACATATTTCGATAATATGAATTTTAAATGTTTTATTTTATGATTTTAGGCTTAATTTTTGACATTCGAATAAGTTGAATACTTGAATGTAATTTTATTAAAAGTTACATAATTTTATTATTTAAGAGAAAAGGAGTGAAATGCATAAAATTAAAAATTTTGATATTTAAGTGCATCTCTCTCAAAAGTTTGGGAGCTATATTGGAATAAAATTGTTAAAATTAGGGATTAAATTGAATAATAAAGTTTGAGGTTTAAAGTGCATAAGAATTGACAGTTAAGGGACAAGCTCTGTCATTTTATCATCAAAATGTGGAGGATTTTAACTGTGGATGTACGACGTTACGATGGTCCGTCAATGGAGGGATGGTGTTAGGTCCTTCCTTACAAAGTTCAAGAATATTTATGACTTGTTTTAAAGTAGAAGGATGACAATGATTCCGTTTATAAAGTTAAGGGATTTTTAGGGACATTAAGCTATTTCTAAACTAGGGTTTAGTCAACTAAATATAAATTTTAGTTAACTAGAATCAGCACTTAGAAGTTAACCTTCCGTCCAAGTGAAAAATGCCTCTTAGGGTTTTGGCTATTTTCCAAAAAATGGAAATGGCCAAACATCCACAAGGACCACAACTATTCCTGACCTTGGCCATTTCCAACCATTCCATGAAAAAAGGTTTTTTTTTTTTCCTTTTTTTTTAAATATTCAAATTCTATTAAAGAAAAAAAAATTATATTTTAAAATTAATTTTTAGAGCTTATAAGTAATTTTTAGATTGCTTAAAAGCTTTAAAAATGTTAAAATAAAACTTTTTTTTCTTTAACTGAATTTAAAATTTATAAGTAAAAAATATTGTTTATAAACAATTCAAAAAAATAAACAACACCAAACGCATTCTTAGTTTTGGTCACATGGTTCACATGCACCCATAAGCAATCCGATTGGGTGGCCTCAAAGTTCGACCTTCTAATTTCACATGGGATGTAATGTGCACCAAAAATTGCATTGATTTTAGTGTCTATTTTACCTTATATCCTAATGGTTAGAATATTTTTTTCCTTTCAGTTGCTATCGTACAAATATACTTACTTTTTTTGAAGATGTAAATTTGTTCTTTCATTGCCATCAAAATCAAAACTTGTCCTAGATTACCAAATAATGTCCTTAATTTTTTTTTTTTTGACCAGTGAAAAATTGAGAGATAAGGAAATAGTTACAATATTACTGCACTGGTAGTTTAAACCTTTAATAAAGAAACAAAAAAAAAAAGTGCACTTCCATCGCGGTTATGGCCGCAAGTGCCTTAATTTTTTTTTATTTTAATACTAAAGGGAAAGGAAAAGGAATGTTTCTCACACAGTTTAGTTTAAAAGTGTTGATTTATAATTGCAGTTGTTAATTTTTTAATATCTTTTAAATGTATAAAATATATTTAATATTTACTTTGACTAATATTTTATATATTTTTTAAATAATAAAAATTGTAAAAAGCAAAGATAAAATACCAATAAATTCGTTGTCTAAGAAAACCTAATGAAGGTACACCTCTTAAGTACATAGACAGACCTCCTAAGGATAGAGACAGTGGCTATGTATGCGTAATATCGTTTAATTATTGAGAAAAACAAAGAATTATTGATGACTCTCTCTAATTAGAAACCTTTTTTAAAGAATATTCGCATTTTTAGAGGGTTTGATCCAAGTAAGCCAATCTTACGCCAATAGGGAAAATAACATTAGCCCAAATGAAATGATTAGGAGCCACAAAATAATCTACCAACTCCTGTAGTCCCATTGACGTCCAAAGATTAAATAAATAAACATGGTGTATAAGTATTGTTTGAGAATATTTTTTG